GGGGGGGGAGCTGGGGAGGAGATGGGCGAACCTCTGTTCACCGATCTCCTCCCCGTACTATGGGACCTGGAGCGATGCAGATTACATCACTTCCGGTCCCATAGCTACCAGTGCTGGGCTCCTGAAACCCAGCAATAAGCTAAGCTATTGAAGTGCGATCTGCATTTAAATAGCTTATTTCAAGTGTAAAGGTGACACTGAGGGTCTGATCCTGATCCTTGGAGCTTCTAGAAAATAGAATTGTAAGACTTTGCACACCTTTGTTTTGATGTACTTGGAATGTTTTAACATTAAAGTTTTTTATTGGGCTTTAAATAAAACACATTAGCAAACATGTAACTGGAGACAGCAAAACCTGCTCCTATGGCATCATTCTGTCACTGGCTGAATGGCTAGCAAGGTGAATGGTTAGTGACGGCTTACCCAGTAAGGAAGCCATTCTCTTTGCTATCTCTTAGACTTCCTTCACATGTAGCTTTTATGTCCTGCTGTGGATTTATGGGGCTGGAATCATAGGTGGTTCTGGACAGCTATTCTGCGTATATGTCTGCACATTCAGCGATTTACCTTTTGGCTATAGACAGATATCTGACCTGGACGCAAACAGAACCGGGCTGCTCATCTGTCCCTATCCACAGCTGTCCGGAACCATCTGCTATTTTTTTCTCTGGAATCCACAGACGGACATAACATTTCAATGTGAATGAGGCCTTAAAGATCCTTTCACTGGCCCTAAGTGCACTTAGACAGATTGAGGGGCCGATGAAAACTTGGATCTTGTGCATAGAAACCAGTCATGTTACATATATATATATATATATAAATATTTGAATGGGTCGTTAGGGAGAACAGCTCTATTATTTAGAAATGGGTTACAGTAAATGATGACACTGTTCTGTATAAACATATTGTAATTCTTCTGCAGCAGAAAACAGCTTAGTGGCCAGTCCAGAAGATTGTACAGACAGTCTGGTGTCATCAGCTGAGGCGTCATACAGTTATACAGGTAACTCAATGCAACACCTATGAAAATGTGACACCTATGACTCTCTTAACCTGGGATGAGAATTATAAAAGGTCATTATGTTAACTTTATTAATAAACAATGCAATCTGGAAATAGTGTAGTAGTAGCAAGGTAAATTGTAAGGAAAAATACATTTGCTTCCAGGCCCACTTAGGCCAGGGGTAGGCAACCTCAGCACTTCAGCTGTGCTGAAACTTCAAATCACAACTTCTGCCTCTGGGAGTCATGGCTGTGGCTGTCAAGAGTCTTGCAACGCCTCATAGGAATTATAGTTCCACAACCGCTGGAGTGCCAAGGTTGCCCTACCCTTGACTTAGCCAATGCAAATGTCACCTTCATCACTCCCAAGACTAACCTAATATATTCTGCAAGAACCCTTTTTATTTCCTAAAAGTATTTGTGCTGCTTATACTTAATGAACGGTGAGATCTGATTGGATGCCGCAGGGACCCCAGGAACTTCTTTCCTCCAAGTTTGATAAATCAGCCCGAGTGGCTAGTGTGCAAAGGGGTTGGGAAGCAGTGTGACATTTGTATCACTTCAATTGATATATATTAATGACTTACATGCAGCAGTTCATCTGGAAAATCGTTCATATCGAAGTATTGTTTATGCAGATGGCATTAAATGGGGTTTTCAGTCTTCTGGGTTTTAGTTATATGTACTTTACATGATAATGATAATCACATGATAATTGTATTATAAATAATGCATTATAAATCTATTAATCTATATCCTTACATTTCATATATGGCTGCAGGTATTGCCAGAATACAGTCATTATTCCCAATACTTTCTCTGGCTATTTTATAGTCTTCTCTTTTAATTGCAGACAAATCTCTTGAAAACCTTGTGTCCCGTCCAAGATTGGAGTCTCTGAGCTCGGTAGAAGAAGATGATTATGATACACTGACTGACATAGAGTCTGATAAGAACGTCATCAGGACAAAGGTGAACTAAACCGTGCTTTTGCAGGAAGGTGCACACTGCAATAATAATATAAGCACTTAAAGCAGAACTCCAGGCAAACTTTTTCTTAACCTTTGCAGTGGGGCTATTTCCGCATTTCAAGGGTTAAGTGCTCGTTTGTGTCTAGGTGCAAAAATAACTAAGTTATACGCACCCGATCCCTGGAGCTGGATGGCTCTTAGGACTGGTCCCTGGAGCCTCTGTCCCCCTCTGCTGCAGCGGTCTAAGGTCCCTGTGTCATCGCATTCTATACACTGTGTATAGGACAGGAGAATGCCAAGGAACATACCATTGCTGCAGTGGAGGGGAGAGGGGGATGCAGGCTGGAGGGAAAGCTGTGACAGGCAGTCAGCTTCACAGTTCGGGTGTGTGCAACTTTTTTATTTGTGCAATTAAATACAAGCATGCACTTAACCCTTGCAGTGCGGCGGTAGCACCACTGCAAGGGTTAAAAGGTTTGCTTGGAGTTCTTCTTTAAAGCGTATCTAAACCCTAAAGAGTAAATGTAATATATTGCAGTCCTTAGAAGTAGTGGCTGCATTTGTTTTCTTCTATCAGTGTGAGTGACACACTCTGTCCTAGTGTCACAATGTTCAATCACTGTACTGTATAGGAGCCGTGATGTCACTCCAGGACAGGACTACAGAACACCTCCCTCTCCACTTCTCCATAGCATAAGGGAGGTGTTCTCTAGTTCACAGAGGTAACATGTGGCTTAATAACACTGATTGAGATAATACTGTGGAGTAAATAGGATAGCACCTGATTTCTGGCAGGAGCAACAGGTTTGTTTTTTGCCCATTATCAAACAAGTATAAGAAAACATTTTCATTGGTATAGTTAAAAGACAAAAAGGGAACAAATAAGATAATTTCATTGTTAAAGTTTTTATATAAACACTTTAAAGCAATATTAGATAAACTAACAGAATTGTATATTATCTTGTAGCTTGATTTGCTCACATTACAGACCGTATCACACTTGGAAGCTGAATAGAATATTGTACAAATAAACATTTAATACAGGGTGCATTGAATGGTAAATAATAAATGCAGTATTTATACGCAGTATTTCTTCATCATTTGATTGATTGATTTAATTCTCGAACATAAGAAGAGAATACACATGAAAATGTCTAAACCTGATAAAAATATAATAACTATAAATGTCGTTTTATTTCTTTTAGAAATATCTTTGTGTTTCTGACCTGGCAAGAAAAGACAAACGTGTGATGCGGAAAAAGTACCAAATATATTTCTGGTGAGAAACGCCAATGTATCTATAATAATATGAGTGTTTATTTAAATAGATTCTGGAAGTCACTGGAGCAAAGCCTTACCTTGATCTGCACGTACATACAAAGGCTTCAGATACTGCAGATTACAGTGGGCCTATCCTCCTTCTTTTGTGTCTCACGCTCCCCCTCCCAGACACTGCAGATTACAGTGGGCATATCCTCCTTCTTTTGTGTCTCACGCTCCCCCTTCCAGACACTGCAGATTACAGTAGGCATATCCTCCTTTTTTTTGTGTCTCAAGCTCCCCCTTCTTGACACTGCAGATTACAGTGGGCATATCCTCCTTTTTTTTGTGTCTCACGCTCTTCGTCCCAGACACTGCAGATTACAGTAGTTGAATCCTCCTTCTTTTGTGTCTCACGCTCCCCCTCCCAGACACTGCAGATTACAGTGGGCATATCCTCCTTCTTTTGTGTCTCACGCTCCCCCTCCCAGACACTGCAGATTACAGTAGTCGAATCCTCCTTTTGTGTCTCACGCTCCCCCTCCCAGACACTGCAGCCCACAGTGAGTGGATCTTATCAGCACAGTCAGTACTAGAGAGCAATCCAGAAAGCAGTGGGCAGGAATAGATGTGGCCAGGTGCTGATTGACAAGCTACAGACTTGCTTCCATACTTCACTGACCTGAAACAAGTAATGTACCCTGACTTTTGTGAATAATATGTTCCAGGTCAGTGACTCAAAAGCATTGAAGCCAAGCAGGCTAGCTTGGAAGCCAGGCAACTAGAATTTTCAGGAGGAGGCCTTCCTATTTCTCTTGTGATCGGTTTACCATATCAGCACAGAGACAATTGTGTGTGCAGCATGCCTGCTAAAAGAAGACTGCATATGCCTACCTTTTCCTTGAAAACCCCGCTTCTCTGCTCCCCAGTCCACTGCAAGTATTTGACCGGTTGAATATCTGCTCCCCCTTTTGTTTGCTGTGGTTCCTCCCACCCTACTTCTAGATCCTGTAGTGACATACACGTTGGCGGGAAATTTAATCACAGCAAGCACAGGAGGTGCAGGTATTCACATACCCAGAAGTGTGTGACAACTGCCAGCATCCAGGAGAGGAGGGAAGTGACAGCTTTTCAAGAAGCAGGCTGCCGGAAATGTATGTTGTACATACAGGGGTCGCTTTAAAGAAAAAGCAAAGACCAGCTCCAAGTAGAACCCTCCTCTGGCCCAGAAATAATTCTTGCAATCCAGTAGGGCTGCCCTGTTTCAGTCAAGGGATACCTTGCACTCCATGAAACATAAAGCTCTGAAGAAGGGGGTGTGTCCCCGAAAACGCGTTCAGCTGTGTTAGCTTGACTCTGCAGGTTCAAGCAGAGTCTCTGGATTGCTTTCGGACTGCTCCTATTTATTCCCACACTAGGAAAGTCACCTAGGATCTTTCATACACTGGCGCTTTTAACCCTTGTCTCCTTTGTGAGTATAAGAATTTCAATATCATTTATTTTATTAATAAAAAGGATTATTGCACCAGGATAGGCGCCCGGTGTTGTTTTTTTTAAAGGTCACTTTAAGCCTATACAATAAAGTACAAGGCTTGAGCAGATCAGGAGCATTATGTACAACCATTTCTCTCCCTGTATTGTTTTCCGTGACTTTGCGTTTATTTCTCGGGTTTCACATACGTTTTTTTTTTCTACACAGGAATATCTCCACCATAGCGGTGTTTTACGCCCTTCCCGTCATACAACTTGTTATAACTTACCAAACGGTGAGAACATAGAAAAATGCACTTTGATTTTATCCGAAAATACATACAAATGTGGCATTCATTGAGGTCTGTGTGACTTATTTTGCAGGTGGTGAATGTAACTGGGAATCAAGACATTTGCTATTATAATTTTCGGTGTGCTCATCCCCTTGGATCTCTCAGGTATGTATTGCTGGAGCTGTACCCAAGCTTGTGTCTGCCCTTTCCTAAAATCCAGAATCAGTTACAGATCAAACAGCCTAGTCTATGTCAGAATGTAACATGCTTGACATTGATAAGGCTGTTTGACCTGTAAACTGGTTCTGTTTCAGCAGCTTAGTGTATTTGTCCATGTTTCAGAGTTTTACAGCACTGACAGATTTTTGAGGTTAGGAATCTGTTTCTTGTACTGCTGGAAAAGCTTTCCAATGATGTGTACATGTAAAGATGCATCGGTTATATGGTTTTTATACCCCTATACAGCTCCAAAGCACATTTAGATCATGGGTATAGCCATTATTTAAAGGGACTGTATATAGTTTTTTATTATTTCTAGATTCTTTATTATTTTTAGACCTAAACATTTTTTTAGTAAGGCACTTCTAATATACTGTGTGTTAATATTCTAAATGTATACAGTTTAGCCAAAAAAGGTGCAGTCAACTTAAGGTGGCCATACACCTTTGTAAATCTGTGAAATCCCCCCTCTACGCTGGATGAAGGAATCGCCCCTGTTGGCTATTGTATTCAGCTGGTTGCTGAATGCCAGAACAATGACTCTTTATCTGGTTGGATGCAGCCACTGTTCGCTCATCATCTTTCCATACGACTCCTGCAACAAAAGTCTTTTGGAGAAATCAACTTTTGTCAAGCCAGGTGGTTCCAACAGGTCCCCTTACAGCTCGAATTTAGACTGATTCAGCAGGACTCAATTCCAGCAGTGTATGGCCGGCTTTAGTTCTCCACCTCATTGGTTTATTCATACAGCTGCCATTCTGTGATCAAGTTTATTTGCTGTTCAGAGCACAAAATGATTGTGTCAGAGGAGGGACGCACCTACTCCCTCTCCAGCTTATAGGGCTTTAAATGAGAATTGAGTTTAGACAAAGGCAGTCATTAAAGGAGAACTATGGGTAAGTGTTTTTCCCCGTAGTTCTCTTTAGGGTCACGGGAAGACAAATACTAACCTCCTCCCGTGACCCAAAGCTCAGTATATAGCGGGCTATTGCCCGCGATATACTAACAGCGCCGCAGCTGGGACAGATCCCAACAATACTGTCGAGATCCATCCAGCTGCGTGACAGAGGGTTCTGCCTATCTAGAGGCAGAGCCAGCTGTGCCCGCCCCCTCCCCTGTTTGTTCCTCCAGCGCTGTAGGATTGGAGAGGGGAGGTGGGAATCCCTGCGGGGAGCCGTGACTAACAGTCACCGCTCACTGCAGGGAGAGGATCGGGAAGTAAGCGGATCGGTTGCATGTTTCTGATCACTTCCTGATCAACAGAGCCGACCTGTGACAGCTTCTTTGTCACATGTTGGCTCTAACTATGAGAATGAGTGGAAATCACTGGGCTTTTTTTTTTTATCAACAAGCTTAGCATCCTTGACAGACAGTTTAATAACAAAGCAGAAGGTGGTGCAGTCAAATTCTTTCTGCACTACCATGGCTTATTCTACTGACATATTGTGAACAAGTTTATCTGCTATTCCAAGTGTACATACAGCGGAATGTGTCAGAGGAGGGATGCATCCACTCCCTCTCTAGCTCATAGGAATGTGAATAAGGATTCAGCTTAGACAGTAATTAAATGAGCAACTACTACTGGGCTTTCCTATTAAAAGCCCAGCATCCTCTACAGATAAATAAGTTAAATGCATACTGTACATCATTGTACTACAGTAAATTAGGTGTTTGTTTTTTTTTATATCTACCTAGAATTCCACCTAAGTCTCGTAATTATAAACAGTGGGATGGTTAAAGGATGAGCAGATTCATGCAGATGCGATGAATGTACAAATAACTACTGATGCACCATCAATGAAACATTTTCTGTGTAGTTTTTGTATGGCTTAGGTCACAGTTTTTTATGACTGATTGTATGTTTCTTATGCTAATTGTTATTCTTTTATTACTTTTAGTGCATTTAACAACATTTTGAGCAACCTAGGGTACATCATGCTAGGGTTGCTTTTCCTAATCATTGTACTGCAGAAGGAGCTAAGTTATAATCGCAGTCGCATGTACACCAGGGGACATCTCGAGGTAAGTTGTAGAATCTGTAAAACAGAGGTAAATACATACCCATTGATTTAACATGTGACGGTGCCTAGGCATACTTTGTTCTTCTAGCCTCACAGGAGCCTCTCAGGCATTTGCTGGGCTTACTGTGTCCACTCATATCCTAGGGGGGTCACATATTTTTCTGTTGCTGGTCTTGGATCTTTAAGTAATCTTTAAGGTAATCCATCAAGGCCAAGCTGTGTTTCCTCTGAGGTACAGATCAAGGTACCTTCAGAGGTCCACCTACTTCTGGTTACGAGTTATTAGATTATAGTGTTTTGTTCATTATCAAACATGTTGAGCATGTTGACTCATAATAAAACAAGTCTTTTTTTTATAAAATGAAGATGAGATTACATTTAGTACAATTCATACAGAAATCCAGAGAATTTCTAATTGTTCTCAGACGTGTTCTCAGAGTTGTACATAAAGGATCTGATCTAGTCATTCTCACTTGTCTTTGTCTATTTATACAGCAAGTTTTCATGGTGTCATCTTTTTTTTTTCTGTGCACAGGAATGTGGGATTCCCAAACACTTTGGTCTTTTCTATGCCATGGGCACCGCGCTGATGATGGAGGGACTACTCAGTGCATGCTATCACGTGTGCCCAAACTACACCAACTTCCAATTCGGTTTGTGTTCACCCATTCTTCTCCTATATATAGACTTTTTCTGTCGTCCCACCAAGCTCCTTCAGGTCTTTGTTTTTTAATTCTTCTTGCTGTCTTTGCTTTGTAGATACTTCCTTCATGTATATGATTGCTGGTCTGTGCATGCTGAAGTTGTATCAGAAAAGGCATCCTGATATTAATGCCAGCGCATATAGTGCGTATGCCTGCCTAGCTATCGTCATCTTCTTCTCCGTCCTTGGTGTGGTATGTACCGTGGAATGGTCTTGTCATTCTCCTGAATTCACTTCTTTTTTTCTAGTTTAACACACAGTAGTATAGGGGGTGTCTTTCACTGGGGTAATCTATTCAGGAGACAGCTGCAAAGTTATGGATTTGGCTTTCATTTGAGGATCCTTCCACCCACTTCCTGTGTCCTGATAGTCTACTTTAACGCTGAATGCAATGAAAAGAATAACCCATGCAGTGGGAATCTCCTACACTGCAAGGGAGAGCCTCACTGCAAGGGCCATTTTTTATTTGTCCCATAGTTAAGTGGCTTGATTTCACATAACTTGAGACACAATTGTGCAGTTTGAGTATCATTACATTGATTAGTAATATACGTCTTAGTAAAATAACAATAGTGTAATGAATAAGAACCTGGGGACCTTCAAAAAAGTTTTTAGTCAGATTTTTTAGTTAAGGAAATCCAGGCAATTCTCCCAATTTAATGGGACCTCTGTGTACACAAACCTCAACATATACAGTGTTACCCTTTTTGTCTCTCAGTTAAATTCATATATATTTGCAGACACTACCAAGTGGATCTCTTGTATGTTCTAAGATTTTGTTTTGTCTCTTGTACTAGGTATTTGGGAAAGGAAATATGATTTTCTGGATTGTATTCTCTGTGATTCATATATTGTTTACTCTGGTTCTAAGCACCCAGCTGTATTATATGGGTCGTTGGAGACTAGGTAATGGACTATTTTGACAGATAACAGCAAAAAGATTTTGATCGCCCTGTGACTTACTGTTCCTTCCCTATGTAATTCCATGTTCAATCTCTTCTAACCCATCAGACTCAGGAATCCTTCGCAGGATCTTTCAGGTTCTATACACAGACTGTGTCAGACAGTGTAGCCCCCCAATGTATGTGGTAAGTGTCTTCTTTGTCAAATTTCTATGTTTTTAGGATTGCGTATGCTTTTCCATTGTCTGGTTTTATATCTATGCTGGTTAGGCACATTTAGGGTTAACTGGTAAGAGTTGTTGGCAGAAGACTGTTCCTCCTTTTCTTTAGAAGAAATGACTCCCTCCTGGGATGAGAGTTTTTGTTAAAGGAGAACTATGAGGCGAGTGAAAATCACTCAGCCTCATAGTTCTAACCGACCTGTGATAATGAAACTGTCACAGGTCGGCTCAATAGATCGGGAAGTGAGAGAACACATACCGTCGCTCGCTCACTTCTTGATCATCTCTCTGCAGAGAGCCATGACTGTCACTCACAGCTCCCTGCAGGGATTTCCCCCCTCCCCGATCCTCCAGCTCTGACTGGCGGAACGGACGGGGAGGGGGCGGGTACAGCTGGCTCTGCCTCTAGATAGGCAGAGCCAGCTGTCACTCACGCAGCTGAGTGGATCCAGACAGTAATGTTGGGATCTGTCCCGGCTGCGGCGTATACCGCAAGCTACTGAGCTTTGGGTGACGGGAGGACGCTAGTTTGTGTCCTCCCGTTACCCTTAGGAGAACTATGGGGAAAAGCCCTGACCCCATAGTTTTCCTTTAAGTCCTGTAGAAACAGAATAATTTTGTAATGGTTTTGAATGTGCACATCTGCATCAGACCCACGCAATTGTTTTGGAGTTTTGTGTTTGCATAATTTGACCTGTAAAGTGACCCTGTCACCAGACCTTACTTTTTAAACGAAAACCTTGCAGCAGTAGAGGTTAATAAGCACTTGCATGTTTCCCCACTTAGTTACATAGTTAGTCATGTTAAAAAAAGAGACAAGTCCGTCGAGTTTAAGCAATTAAGGAAAGAAAGAAATAAAATAAAAAGAAAAGCTCCATAAACCGAACCCTACAGTTGATCCAGAGGAAGGCAAAAAAACCTTATAAAGCTTGATTCAATTTTCTCCAACAGGGAAAAAAATCCTTCCTGATCTCTGAAAGCCATTGGATATTCTCTGAATCATCAATCTCTGGCGTTATTACTTATGAAATATTAATACTCAGCGATATTCTATGCATTTAGGAATTAATCCAGATATTTTTTTCAAATCAATTAACTGAGCTGGTATGACTAGATCCTGAGAAAGCCTATCCCATATTTTCACGGCTCTAACTGTGAAAAAACCTTTCTGCGTGCGAAGTTTAAACCTCTTTTCCTCCAGATGCAAAGAGTTCCCCTTTTCCTTTGCAATGACTTTCGTGAATAACTGCATCAAGTTTATTTGTTTTGTTTTTTAAATTGCATCAAGGTAATTTGCATCTAAACTTGTTTCTGGGAAGATTGTTGCAGATTCTAGTTGTAAGGGGACAGTGTTTCTTTAAGGCAAACTCATTGGCCAATTATACATATTCAAGTCTAAAAGTCCTATCTTATAGTTAAACAGTACAAGTTGCTTGGTATTGCCAGTGTTAGCCTGAAAGTCCTGTTCGTTGTATCTCTCTGGAACTAGCTTCCCTTTGTTACGAGGGGAATAACTTCCCTGACTTTATGGCTAAGACCTACTCACCACCATATCCTTGTCTAATAAAAGTGCTGAAGGTCTCTCAGAAGGAGTTTAGCAATGAACTGATCTTGAATGGTACAGTGCAGAGTTTACCATAACCTCCAAAAATAAAGTACAATGTCCTTCTTTGCATCATATTGTGTGGCCCATGATAACAGGTGAACTTTGAGGGCAAGAGCATCCTTATTGTCTGGTAAAAGAATGACCCCTGACAACTTTTTGGTAAAGCAATAAAATGGCACCCTGAATTCAGCCTGGGATACTGAATAATACAGAAAACATATTTACTGTCTCCTGTACATGTTTCCTGTCTTTACTTCAGCCCCTCAGTGCATTGAAGATCAACTTTTCTCTCTTCTTTCAGGACCGCATGGTGCTACTTGTCATGGGAAACATCATAAACTGGTCTTTGTAAGTAAACACAATAGTTTATATTTAATTTGGGTTATAGGGGTTTATAATAAGTATGTGAAAACTACAAATCATTCAGTTGGATTTGAATTCTAGCAGAAGGTTTTTGGGTGGTTCCCCATACTTGTTGCCAGGCAATTCATGTGGTAGAAGTCAAATGCATAAAATTAAGTTTCTCACAACCCTAAATGTAAAATCACATTATTTACTATGTACACTAATAATACAAATAATACTGAGAAAAATAGATCTTTCTATGTAATTGAGTAAATTAGATGCATCACAGCAGAGCTTCACCCTGTCCTGGCCTATTCAATGACCAATACAGGTTTCGCTGTAAAGATGGACATGTCAGTGAGGCTTGTCATCACTGCGAGTGAGCCAAGATTAGGTACAGCTATTATTTTCTTTGACCATGCCTGCCCCATGAGCAACTTTACAGCCAGAGCTGTGCAGATATAAATACTACCCAATTCCGCGTCAGGCCCAGGAAGTGTGACGTGCCTCTGGTATGCATCTAAGGTGTCTGATTGTATACACAGTGGGGGGAATTGATGAGAACAGGAGCAGACAAAATCTGGAGCAGTTGCCCATAGTAACCATTCAGCTTCTCTCTTCAGTTTGTTCATCTAAGCTTTGAAAACGAAAGATCGAAGCTGATCGGTTGCCATGGGTAACTGTTCAATATTCAGTCTGATGGCGTTGAGGGGCAGCTCACATTCCAGGGTGCAGCTTTACAATGCAACTGCATTTTTGAGATAAATATTATTTTTAGGGTTGAGGGTTACTGTTAGGTGGCCTTGGATGAGGGCATCACTCTCACTGAAGAATGCACTATGCCACAAAATACTAGAGCCAAGCTCCCAGCCCTAAAAGTATAATTCCCCACATTATACCAGAGCCAAGCTCCCGGCCCTAAAAGTATAATTCCCCACATTATACCAGAGCCAAGCTCCCGGCCCTAAAAGTATAATTCCCCACATTATACCAGAGCCAAGCTCCCGGCCCTAAAAGTATAATTCCCCACATTATACTTTTAGGGCCGGGAGCTTGGCTCTGGTATTTTGTGGCATAGTGCATTCTTTAGTGAGATTGATGCCCTCATCCAGGGCCACCTAACAGTAACCCTCCCTGTAACCCCTAACCCTAAAATAGTGTTTCTCTCAAAAATGCAGTTGCATTGTAAAGCTGCACCCTGGAATATGAGCTGCCCCTCAACGCCATCAATTTAAATTCAGTATCCGCAGCCACCACTGTCTCTGCAATGTACGTGATGACATCAGTGAGGGGGTGGCTGCACAACCTGGAGAAAAGGGAAGGGTTTGTGGGACAGGTCGTTCACCCTTCCCCCCGACAAAATTTTGGATGCCGACTGGAGTTCAGTTTTAATTAGCTCCTAATTTTGCTGGGATCATTATTAGTATTGTTGGTCTTTTTAACGCTGTCTGTACCTATATCTGTGATTACATTATTATTACATGTATTTACTTTGATTGCAGGGCTGCATATGGCCTTATTGTACGTCCCAACGATTTTGCCTCATATCTTCTCGCCATTGGAATTTGTAACCTGTTACTATATTTTGCCTTCTACATTATTATGAAGGTAAGAGATAGAATGCTGAGATGGTTTGTGTGATGGAGTTTACTCTTTTTTCCTGAAACTGACTGACTATACATTTTGAACAAGATCCATACTGTAATTTATATAAATCACAACATTTCCGTAGTTTCCTTTTCTGCAGTGCTATCTGTACAGCAGCTTTGGTTTTAGTAAGAACGGTCTCTGTAGCGGACTACCAGTATCTACATTCCTGAGTAGAACAAATTACAACTACTATAAATCAGTGAAACAGACTTGTGCTTTGCTGCACAGATTAAGAAGCCCTGCACTGCAAACTCTAAAGCGAGTGAAAGGAATAAAATGAAGCAATGTAACTTCCATCTCATTTTCCGAATACTAATTTAAAGTTGGATTCTCAGGAGATATAACAATAAATTGTAAAATTATACAAACCTAATGGCTGATGACCTCAGCTACCCGGCAAAGGCATCTTTGTGGGCAGATTTAGCCGCCTATACAAAATGGTTGTTTGCAAGATCTGCAGAATTTCATAATCGATTCTACAATAAAGTTTAGAGAAATCCTTTCTTTGTTACCAAAATTGGATGTTACTACAATGTCTCCATATAATGTTGTTGTTTCCTCTCTCCTACCTTTTATTAGTTGCGCAGTGGAGAACGTGTACTTCCTGCCCCTCTTCTATGTATCCTCTGCACATCTGTGGTTTGGGGATTTGCTCTGTTCTTTTTCTTCCAGGGGCTCAGCACTTGGCAGGTAAGCATAGCACATATCAGTCACTCAGGCTGGTAAAAAAAAAAAAAATGAGAAAGAGGAGAGAAACGCAAAGGAGGCTCCAATTAGGGAATAACAACGTTGGAAACGTATATTATTAAAATCAGCAACCTATGTTAAGCTCCTAATAAAGTTTAAGTATTCTATCTAACCTCTCCCCTCCCCCAGCAGTTTGAGTATATAGTGGCTCAGTGGTTAGCACTTCTGCCTAGCAGCACTGAGGGTCCCCAGTTAAAATCCCAGTCAGGACACTATCTGCATGGAGTTTGCATGTTCTCCCTGTGCTTGCTTGGGTTTCCTCTCACACTCCAAAGACATGCTGGTAGGTTCATTGGCTCCTCTCACCTTAGATTGTAAGCTCCTTGAGGGCAGGGACTGATGTGAATGTACAATATATGTAAAGAAATAAAAACTACAGCACTGTTCAGTTATCACACCAATCACCACACATCCTCTGGCTGAATTCTTCATAAATCTTCCATGCTGTACTGGCACATGTCAAATTTTGGATTTCCTATCAGTTACATCAACAATTGGCACCATGGCAAATAGGGTCAATTTCCCCACCTTGGACTTAGACAGATATAACATTTGACAGGTATCTCATTACTTGCACCCTCTATCCTGATTCCCATATATAGATCTTTATCACTAGAGTGATCACTAGCAGAAGGAAGGAGGTCCTCGATTCCCCTATATAGATCTTTATCACTAGAGTGATCACTAGCAGAAGGAAGGAGGTCCTCGATTCCCCTATATAGATCTTTATCACTAGAGTGATCACTAGCAGGAGGAAGGAGGTCCTGATTCCCCTATATAGATCTTTATCACTAGAGTGATCACTAGCAGGAGGAAGGAGGTCCTGATTCCGCTATATAGATCTTTATCACTAGAGTGATCACCAGCAGGAGAAAGGAGGTTCTGATTCCCATATCTAGATCTTTAGTTATCACTAGCAGGAGAAAGGAGGTTCTGATTCCCCTATAGAGATCTTTATCACTAGAGTGATCACCAGCAGGAGGAAGGAGGTTCTGATTCCCATATATAGATCTTTAGTTATAACTAGCAGGAGGAAGGAGATCCTGATTTCCCTATATAGATCTTTAGTTAGACCTCATTTAGAATACTGTGTTCAGTACGGCATTATTTTTCAGGAGGGCTTTATTTTCAATATGAAGCCAAGATTGAAAACCCATGGACATGAACTCAAACTAACAGAAGGAACGTTTGAAACTAACCTTAGAAAGTATTCTTTTACTGGACAAGTAGTTGATGCCTCGGAAGAGACTTGCAGCGGAGGTAGTCAATCAATAGTAAATTAATTTAAACATGGTTGGGATGAACATAGATCTGTACCCAGACAAACAGGTTAAAGAACAGAATAAAAAAAAGTGGCAGACCTGATGGACCATTTTTTCTGCCTTCACTCTTCTATGTTTCATCTGCCGAACTGGTATTCCACAACTCTGTGCTTTAAATGTGTAGTTGTACTTTTTTATTAATGGTTTTGTTCTGTGTTCAGAAAACTCCAGCTGAATCTCGGGAGCACAACAGAGAGTGCATATTGCTTGGATTCTTCGATGACCATGACATCTGGCATTTCCTCTCCTCCATTGCTATGTTCGGTTCCTTCCTTGTGAGTTTTCTCCCCATCTAACATAGCAGTCAGTTGTAGTTAGCAGAGTGTATAGTAAAGATTATTTATATTTGTTAGAACTGTTTTGTTTTTTTAGGTAATCATTTTTGCCTTAAAAACTAAATGCATTTTTTGAAAACAATACCACCAATAGAAAGTGTGGTCTGCTCCCTCCAAAAATGAATATCACACTGTTGTAATGTGTCATTGTCGAATTTGTAGGCCAATAGCTTGAATGTTAAAATTCCTGTAGTTAATAAAGGGTGAATAGAGTGGTGCAGGTAGTACCATGTCCCAAAGGTCAAGGCAGGCAAGATGGATAAAGCTATAGGATATGTGGGGTTGGGGGTGGTGGGTAAAAGGGAAAGGAAGGGTTTTGATGGTTGTGGGTTTAACTATAGGAGCTAATTGGATAAAAATATTTGTTGCATGGGGGAATAATATAGGGTGGGACTGTTAATTTTAGAGCAGTGGGTTTGGAAATGAAGGCCAAGGGTCCTGGCTTATATTTTGCCCTTAAGCCCAGGTGTTTTAAGCTACACTACTTGGTGAAAAAGCTGTGAAAGATATCCATCACAGCCCTAATGCAAGACAAGGCAGTAGCCATGTCATGGATACGCGTAGTTCATACCACTACTTTGCAGTGATGTGTGCTGCAAAAAAAGTACTGCATCCAGTAATTTTTTCTTATTGCAGAGGGCCGCGACGTGGTACAACTCACTGAACAACTCACTGTGCCCAAAGAACGTAATGAAATGCCGCTCTTGACATTTCAATAAAGTTTTAAAAATAAAAAAACGTAAACCAGTGGGATGCGTGGCATCGGAGCAGCAGCACTGTTCTGCGTAATGCATACCAGCAGCTGTGCATTAAGAAATACAATAATTGAATGGCCATAGTCCGGACACAGGTTCTCTTTAATCTAAGATGCAGATTTGGAGTGACAGTAGTCACTAAAATGTATTTGCAATAAGAGTATTCATGTCTGTGATTTGTATTAAAATGATTTCTAAACATTCCCTTTGACATATACACCCTCTCTTCACAGGTTCTGCTGTATCTGGATGATGATCTGGATGAAGTAGAAAGAGACAAAATTTATGTGTTCTGAAATGTGCGCAGAAAGACTCCCATGGATAAAAATGAAGGACGCTGGTTTTGAGCAGTCACCTCCATGTAGTAACACATAGGGTACCACATACCAAGAAGTGACTCCAGTCACCTCTATTCACTGATGGCCTCTGGCTGAAGCTGCAAGGAGAAATGCAACTCAGAGGGTTGATTGTGCCACTTGCGTGCGCTACTTTCATTTATGGAGTGACTTCAAGGCCATTCCTATCTGCAGTGTATGATCCCACGTTGGCCACAAGGTGCCATTGCAGCTCTCCTGTTGCCAAATCAAGTTTGCTTTGGATTCAGCCTCCTTGATATGATATGGCTTTTGTTGTATTGATTGTAGTCTGATTAATGTTGAAACTGATGATAAGCGAGCGGTGTCAATTTCAATCTAGTGCAAGCCAACAGAATGAAAGTAGAAGCAAAGCAGCACTGTCACGTTAATGACGGTCATCATCATCGAGCCTGTCTTAAAGTGGCCTTCTACTTCAATATAGGTATTCAAAGTAACTGTGCAGCTATATAGCTGCCATGGTGGCTCCTATCCTTCCAGCCTTCACCCTCCGCCCCCAGTCCACTGATCTAGCACCCCACATCTGACCATCCTGATAGTGTTTGTATAGTGCTAGACATGCCCCCTAAGGACTTGCTGCACATGCACCATTGATTGTGCATTTATAGGACGTGGGGGAAGTGTACATGTACGCCCCATACATAAAAGTACCTGAGATTTTATGATGGGGGGGGATTGGTGGGTTAGGGTGGATTTTGAATTCTATAAAAGAATCAGCAAGCCGGCATTGGTGCTTACTGAAAAGCTGCACTGTTACTTTAATTACTAATATGCTGGCAACACATCAGTCACAGTTTCCTAAGATTTGATCTGTCAGATCAGCAAAACTTAAGCTGCCCATACACTATACAATCTACTTGTGAGATCTCTGTTTTTATCTTTTACCAAAACTATGTAATATGAGGACAGACCAAACCAATCCATTCATGTAGTATTGAATCAGGCTGGTCCTTGCACTGCATAGTTGGTGGTAGAGCTAAAAAAAAAGATTTTTGCATATTTATACTTTATGCTAATTCAGGTACAGTTGTTACTGTTCTTTGTCTTTTCTTCTATAATGTTCAGTAAACTTTATTATGGAAAAAGATTGCACAGTGTATGGTCAGCTTTAACTTTATAGTAGGAGGCCTACTTTAACAATACATTTATGTGCAGTCAGGTCGACCATCACCATACATAGTTATTGGCTTATTGTGCTTCTGTAACTGACTGAATCTACATTGTGGGGCCAGCTTTAGTTGGAAGGAGTGCCTCCAAATGGACACAAAACCATCCACATAACATGAACGCTTATATATAGTGGCGTAGCAGTATATAGCACAGTGGTGTAGTGCTTAGCACTTCTGCCTTGCAGCACTGAAGGTTCCCAGTTTAAATCCTGGTCAAGACACTATCTGCAAGGAGTATGCATGTTCTCCCTGTGCTTGCCTGGGTTTCTTCCATCACTCCAGAGAAGGTTAATTGGCTCCTGGCTACATCTGCCCTGTATGTACAGTATGTGGGATAGGGACCTTAGATTGTAAGCTCCTTGAGGGCAGGGACTGATGTGAATGTGCAACTGTGTTAAGCGCTGTGTAAATTGTCAGCGCTATACCACACACACGTACATGATACAGATATGTCAGATAAAAGACCGCTCCGTCACATATATAATACAGAGATGTCAAGGATTGAAGATAGTTACACACAAACACACACACACTACAGATATGTCAGATAAAAGACCGCTCCGTCACATATATAATACAGAGATATCAAGGATTGAAGATAGTTCTGTCCACACACACCCACACACATGATACAGATATGTCACATATATAATACAGAGATGTCAAGGATTGAAGATAGTTCCATCCACACACACACGTACATGATACAGATATGTCAGATAAAAGACCGCTCCGTCACATATATAATACAGAGATGTCAAGGATTGAAGATAGTTCCGTCCAAACTTAAAGAGCTCCAGGTTTTAGAAATATTAACCCTTGTAGTGGAGCTACCACCCGCACTGCAAGGGTTAACTGCTTGTTTTTCTCTAGGGGTGAAAATAAAGAAGAAATACATGATCCTCAATCCCACCTCTCCGCTAGACCTGTCCTCGCAGCCTCTTCTCCACCCAGGTCCCTGCAGTCTAAAGACCTGTGATGTCACCACGTCTATTACAGGTCTATTAGATGTGATGATGCTGAGGGACATACCAGAGCGGAGGGGGGAGATAGGTGAGTGGTCACTGCTGCAGGACCAGGTGAGGAGAGATCAGGTGAGTATTTCTTCTTTATATCCCCTTCCCCCAGAGAATAGTGAGCAGGGGTAGCCCCAATGCAATGGTTAATTTTTTTATAAACCCGGAGTTGTTCTTCAAGTTCCATTTGTTCATTGAGTGATGCCCGTTAGCTGGTGTCCTGGCATTGAGTCGTCATGTCTTTAGTGCCACCCCGCTTTCACTTGCTCAGTTCCGTTGTTGGGAAGTTGGAGAAAGAACAAGAAAGATGCCAATGGCTGTAGAAATCCGGTACAGCTGACAATGAAGATTGCCGTACTGGATTGAATTCTGTATAATACGACTTAATGAACTCCATCCTAAATAAAAAAAATGACGTTTTGTAATATTTGTCTACAATGTCTAAAAGTCTGAGCTTGTATGTGGAAAGATACAGGAGGACGTCCATCACACTGCTCCAAGTCGAGATGTTCTGAACAAAAGTGGATCTCTTCTTAATATGGAGGGAGGAACCTGTATAGTGTAATGTATATTATGGATATGGATTTTGTGCAGACAGTCTCAGATTCCATTGTCATCCTGGGAAATGTCAAATAATGAAAGGCCAGCCAGCTCTGAACTTAAGCAGCGCAGCAACTGCGCCTAACATTCGACATTTAACAGCTTCCTGAATATATGGTTGTTTTTTTAACCTTTCTTTTGTGTACACGAGGTGAAATATTGATCTAGACTTTGTATGAGAGATATTTCCAAACCCCAAAAAAGATATTTTCAGTTCTTGACTTGAATGTGATCCTCTGATAACACGCAACTGTTTCTTGGTTCTGAGTATGTGTCAGGATCAGAGACGTTTACCAGTAGTGATGGGCTGAACACACCTGAGTTCGATTCCAGCTCGAACTTTCGAACATGGAAAAAGTTCTAACTCGAACTTAAAACTCAATGCAAGTCTATGGGACCAGAACTCGGAAAATCTTTGAAGGCTTATATGCAAGTTATTGGCCATAAAAAGGGTATGGGGATCCGGGTACTGTGCGGGGGACAGGAATCAATGAAAAAAATACCATTGTTAAAGGAGCAGTGATTTTACAATTGCTTAAAGTGAAACAATAAAGAGGAAAAATTCCTTTAAATATGGTGCCTGGGGGGTCCAGTTAAACTGCCTGTGAAGTGGCGCATCTGTATGATGTATAGAACCTGCTGCAGTAACAAGTGACATTTATAAAGAAAAAAATGACATTTGGATTGCCGGTAATTGGTTTTCCTTTCATCTTTTAAACAACTGCTTGGGGAGGCAGCCTGTATGAAGAGGCCACATTTTAGGACACTCGGACCAAGGTTAGAGATTTTTTGGATAAATTTGGGTGCCTCTTTTGCAGCCATTGGATGAAAGTAACAACAGGTGCTTTAAAATTGGGCCTTTAGTGTTGGCGGTGCTGCCACACCGTAACCCTTTAGAGTTAAGGTGCCCATACTTACACCTGCCGATTATCGTAAGATAATTGCGGGAAATCCCGCGATCATACGATAATTGGCAGGTGTATGGAAGTCGTGCGACCGTTTCTACTGTACGGTCGCACATATAGATGTGATTGGGCCATCAAAGTTCTGTAGCTGGCTGTTAGAAATACACCGTCCATCAGACCAACATTGAAACCCCCAGCGGAATCTGCATCCCAATATTATACATATAACAGCTAAGCACAACACTGAGACCAATGATGGTCATTCACACAGGGGGGGAATTTATCAAAATCTGGAGCAGATTTGCAATGCAACCCATCAGCTTCTCTGTCTCATTTTCAAATCTTACCTGAGCAAACTGAAGAGAGATGCTGATTGGTTGCCATGGGAAACTGCTCCAGATTCGGTCTGCTCCAGTTTTGATCATTTCACCTCATAGTGTTCAATCCCAGAGCTATTGCATACATACAATTCATCAAATACTGTACAATACCACGCACAGTGTTGTTCCACACTTTATGATCTGTTGGTCATAATCCGAAATGACCAATTAAAAATAATTGTCTTATTGATTTATACTTTCTACTGTTTTATTGATTTATATGACAATTGCGTCTCTTAACACACACACAGAGATTTTTGTTATATTGATGTTATATTGAAGGTAAAAAGCAAAGTACATTTATATTGGAGTTGATGGTAGATGGTAGTTTTTTTTTTTTAAAGTCCGGAATACGGAATCCGTTAACGGAATTCGTATTTTGGATAAAAAAACAACTACCACTCCAATATTAACAAAGGTATTTTGCTTTTTAACTTCATCATAACGAATGTTCGTAAAGTTACGAAAATATAACCGGCACTAACGAAAATTCGTATTTCGTACGAATCCGAATTGAGTTCAGTTACGAATTACGAAATAACGGATATAACGAAACGAAACAGAACAAATTTTTTGACGGCACACAAGTCTAGTGTGGGGATGAATTGTTTGAGAAAGTGATACTTCAGTGGTTCGTTTGAAGCGGGATAGGCTTCCCTGAAGAGATGAGTCTTAAGGGATCGCTTAAAGGCAGTCAGAGTGGGAGATAGATGGACAGTTTTGGGTAAAGAGTTCCAGAGGATGGAAGAGACTCTAGTGAAGTCCTGGAGGCAAGCATGGGAGGAGTTGACGAGGGAGCTGGAAAGCAGGAGGTCTTTGGAAGAGTAGAGTGGACGGTTAGGGTAATAGTTTGAGATATAGCCAGGGGCAGAGTTGTGGATAGCTTTGTAACTGATTGTTAATATTTTGCATTTTATCCTTTGGGCTATTGGAAGCCAGTGCAGGGATTGGCAGAGGGGGGTTGCAGACACTGAGCGGTTGGTTAGGTGAATTAGTCTAGCAGCTGCATTCATGATAGACTGAAGGGGGGATAGCCTGTGTAGAGGTCAGCCAATGAGGAGGGGGTTGCAATAGCCAAGACGAGAGATAACAAGGGAGTGGATGAGTAGTTTTGCGGTTTCATTGGTGAGGAAGGGGCGTATTTTGGAGATGTTACGAATTCCACAATGATCAGTCTGCTTGGCAGAATCAAATGAGCTCACAAAATTGATTAATAGAGGGTATAAGGTCTGCAGTTGTAAAGTCCAAGCTTATCCTATCCTATTATGACATCAGCACTGTAATAGGAATACATACCAGAGTTGTTTCAATCAAAGCTTACTTGAAAGAAATCCCTTTTATGTAGTGAGCGCTGCCTTCCGTCTGCCCATCACTTTCACCAACTTCCTGGATTCCCAGTGTGCTTTTTGACACTTCCCCTGCTGCTTGATGTGATGCAATCTCGATTTCTTAAGACTACATATCCCATCATGTATTGCTTCCAGCAAGCAATGATAATGTTACATTTGTTACATTGTAATCGTACAATCGCGGGATTTCCCGCGATTATCGTACGATTATCGTAAGGTGTGTGGGGACCTTAACAGTCGGCAGAAGCCAGTGCATCGCACCTATGATCCACTGATCGCGGTTGCAAAACTAATAAGCCAGAGCATCGCACCTTTGATCCACTGATTGCGGTTGCAAATATAATAAATGCACATTTTTTTCTTTCATGAAGAAGCGTGCATTTATTATAATTTTTTAAAGGTGGAATTTCCCTTGAAAATGATAAAAGCAAAACAAAATAATATCTGACAAGTGGAAAAAATAATAATTTGGAAAACAAACTCATTTCTGGTGATAAAATGTCCTGGGTGATGATTTCATTACAGCGTTGTAGTTGCCCAGGATGTGGAGGCTGTAATGTACTTATTGAAAGATTCCTGATTAATGTATTAACCTAATAACAACCAAAGAGGCTCAGCCTAAAAATGTGTGCTTCTAGAGCTCACATCTGACATCTCCCATCCTGGAATCCATGGAAATATTAGAGAATAAAGTCATCGAGGGGCAATGCAATGGTTAAACTGTCTCTTACATTGCATCATAGAAATCCTCCGCAGCCCCCGTAAAGTGAGGGGTTTATACCCCGAAATGAGTCTATAAAAGGATTTTGCTGGAGGGAGATCTCCCCCTCCCAATGAGTCACAACGCTGCCCCTTTCTCGCATCCTTTAGGTATCCAGAGAATGTCTTCACATCCCTCCCCTAATATGGAGTTTGGGAACATCAGAGTCTGAAGGGGGGAGAAGGTGGGCTGAGACTCCCCCACTATTCATCTCCAGCCACAAGAAGACTTTTATCTCCCCATCCTTCTCACTTCTCACTCAGTACTTCCATCCTGGACACAGCAACAACAGCCAGGAGCAACCTGTGAGTTGGGGATGGAGGGATGGATGGATGTGGTGGCTAGGGAGGGGGGCTTGGGATATTTTCGTCTATTCATATACACAGTACTAACCATTGATCCTATTCATTATATATTATAGAAAATATCGACTCTTGTGTTAGCTGACTGTATATGTGACTTGATATCAGTTACCCAGTTATTGGATATTTAAAGGGGACCTGTCATAGAGACAGATGAACGCAGCCACTGCTTGTTTTTTTCTGGCTGTCATTAATCAATTATAGAGAAAAGGAATGCTGAATGAACATCTTCTGACTGGTCAGTGACTCAGAAAAGATTGAAGCGGGAGGGGGGTCACCAGAACAGCCAGACAACTAGCATTTTCAGTAGGAAGAAGTTCCTACTTTTATGGCAGGTTTACTTTAAGGCTTGCAGTTAGTCTATCCAGGGATATGCAACCTCGGCACTCCAGTTGTTGTGGAACTACAAGTCCCATAAGGCATGGCAAGACTGACGGCCACAGGCATGACTCCTAGAGGAGAATGGCGTTTGTAGTTTCATCAGAGCTGAAGTGCCAAGGTTGCCTTGCCCTGATCTAGACATCCAAAGGATGGATTAGCATGACATAGACCAGGGCTGGGTAACCTCGGCACTCCAGCTGTTGTGGAACTACAAGTCGCACAAGGTATTGTGCATATTGTGGCAGCCACAAGTATGATTCCCATAAGCAGAACGATTATGGGATTCGTAGTTTTCCCACAGCTGGAGTGCCGAGATTGCCTACCAATTACAAAGACTATGTGGCTTGCTGTGCAAGGTGCACAATACATGAATAATAACATGCAAAGCGCAGTAACTCCTAGCAACCATTCACAAAGCAGTTTACTCTGGTCAGATGAGTGAAAGCTGAACTATTGTATTACTGAGTGGATCTGACATAACAGACCCAGGGGTTTAAGGCAGAAACGTAGTAGACTTGTGGAATATTTAATTATAGGGCTTTTCCCATGATACTGCCTATGCTGCACCTCTGTTCTTAACAGGAAGCCGACTTCCTCTATGACATTCATCATTGGTGATAAACCAGAATATTAGTGATATGATGTAATGAGAGAATACACTGAAATCAGAGCTTAGAGGAACATACATTCCTAATAGTCATGTGCTGCTCATACAGGACACAGCAAAGCAGTTCTTTGATTCCCTTCCAATGGTTCACAAGTATTATATTGGGGATCAGTCCAGAGATTGGCTCAGCTCCCCCTAATGTTAGCCAGAAGATGCTATATTTGTAAAATGCATGCAGTGTCCCCAGACCTGGTCTCCTCTCATCTTCCCTCTGTCACTTGATTGGGAAGTGAAGAAAATGATTTTCAGTAACCGCTTTAAAGGAGAACTCCATCCATCTGTCTTGGAAATCCAACAGCTCAGTTGAAAGCTTTGCACCCAGCACTTCCACTAGTAGCTTCTTTCCTGTCCAGTTTGTCTAAATCATTCTGCACTTGTTGTAGTAATTATAGGTTTAGTTATCCACTATAAGAGTGCGGATTTGCATGCTTGTTATATGAATTTAGCAAAGACAAATTTTAGTTACAGTGGTCAATTTAACTTTATTGTGTACAGTAAAAGAGCATTGGGTTTGGTACAATTTCATGGATTTGTCTCTTAATCATGTCTCCATTGGAAACTCCTAGGTGTAGTTTTGTTGAGATTTCCTGTTCTTAGTTAAATATTGCTGTTTGTTACACAAGGGGCTTCTGCGTAAAGCCCAGCAGCAGTTCACCAAAAGGCTCTAAAGAATGAAAAGGCATACTTAATGGACAAGGAAGACAGTTAAACCCCTGCTGGTAGATATGAGTTGGTGGGGAAGCACAAAGAGACGGTAGCAAAAGGGAGCGCTGTACTGGGATATCAACGGATAACGTGCATGCGTCATACCAGAGAAGAGGGAGAAAAAAACAATGTAGGATATCAATTTATGGTGGGATTGTTGCCTTGATACCTAAACCTAAAGATGCCCATACACTGGTCGAATTTTGGCTGGTTTTTAATATAGCAGCTGAAATTTGCACAGTGGGTGCCCCTGTCGGTATTCCCAGATCAGCTGATCGAAGGAGCCAGCTGGAAAATTTTTGATTAGGGCCGGCAGCCAATGAGCTGCCTGCACAGATTAGGCCGGTGGCACCTGTCAGAATACAATGCAAACAGCAGTGATTCCTCAATCGATATGCTGTTTGTGTTGATGGAGGAATCGGGTCAATTTTTTTCGTTCAGCCCGCAGGTTGAAGGAAAATAAATTGATAGGTGTATGGCCAGCCTTACATGCTTTAGAATATAATTATATATCTCTGTAAGGTCTCCAATTTATCTAAGTAATGGTATAGCTAGTAGCAAGTTGTCATAATCAATTGGACTTGTTCTGTAATGTTAAAGATGTTTCACCAATTATCCAAGCAGTTCCTTTAGTTCTAATGGGTGTCAGGAACAGGCCCAGCATTGATAGCCAAATGGGTAACACAGTCACTTTATTCCAATTACCATGAAATGCGTGACGGTAGAAGATTGTTCAAGAACATCATCGGTGGTGGAAAAGTTTGTGAAACCTCCCTGATCTAACCATATAATACAATTACTATAATGCCATGATGTCTGGGACAGGTGATAGTCATTTGATTCACATGGCTGCAGGTATAAATTGTTGTCAAATCACTGGAATATAGCAGGGTAATGCTATATATGTATATATGGATGGTGTGGAAGGCCCTTATTGTTCAAGAACAAGATGGGTGGTGAGAAGGTTTGTAAAAATGCCCTGATCCAGTTACATAATACAATTACTATAGTGCCAAGATGTCTGGGACAGGTGATAGTCATTTGATTCACATGGCTGTAGATATAAATCGTGATCAAATCACTGGAATATAGCGGGGTCATGGATGGTGTAGGAGGCCCTCAACCCTGTTTAGGAATGGTTGTTCTAGTTTGGCTTAGATGGTGTTTTTCACTTTGCCTGTTAACTAGTTGTCCTATCTGTCCAACATGTGTACATCACCGTCCTCAAAAGAATGTCCCTTTTACTCAAGGTGTAATGTCTTTAGCATTACAGAACAAGTTCAGTTGAATATGACTACTAGCTATAATTATATATTATATTCCCCTTTATATAATTTATTCAGATAACATACAATTTGTTTGCCTAACTCAGACTGTTATGTATTACATTTCATTTCAGCATACAGCAAAATCAACTATACCCCCCTTAATAATTCACCTATTGAGGGTCTCAGGCCAAAACTTTATCTGTTGGTGACACTTAGTGTTCTAGATAGCTAGACTACAGAAGCAGAGGAGTGTGTGTGTTGAATGATTGGTGCCTTCAGGTTGTTTCCTGGTGATCATGGTCAGTCTTAGGAAGTGAATTCATTCTATTGTTTTCATATTTAGCATTTATAGATTGTTACAGACCAATACTTTTTTTGTTGGACAAAGCCAGTTCAAAAGGTTGCCCTGGTATAACTGCTACTTGCTAACAAACCATTGGTTTGCTTGGTGCTCTACTAAGAAATACAATATTGTTGATGTGTAACAGCTATACCCAACTACATTACCTACTAAACACTGGGCATCAATAGTAATTCCATCATCTCACACCTAAATGCTACATTTATTACATAAATAAGAACATCATCCAAGATAATAATGTGATAATGGATAATAATGTGGTTGAAAATAGAATGTTACGGCTATTATGTCAAGTAGTTTCTCAACTCCTTATTTGAATAATTTATAACTTTGTTGCACAAGAAATAAATCATGATATGCCACCTGACTGCAGAAAGTGGTTCTGCTCCAAATTGTGTCCATGTGTTTCCTCTCCATCATCTGCTCATCCCGGCATATTTTTTTAATTGCCAGAAGCTCAAACAGAAATGGGGACAGCAAGAAAGAGCTGGAAGCACCACGGGTTTCCCCAAAGGATCAGTTTTAGTGACAGTAGATCATTTTGGTCTAATTTTTATGAGAAAATATGCTTTTTGCTGAGTGGGTGCCATGAATAAGAGGTACAATGAAATCATATAGCAAGGATATAGAGACTCTGGTTGATGCTGCTAAGAAACCTTTGGAAGCAGTGGCGGAACTACTGCCGGTGCGGCCGGTGCGCCCGCACCGGGGCCTGAGCCTACAGAGGGAGGCCAGTATCCATTCAAACACAGCTGCGGGGCAGAGATGGGGGGGGCCCGTCGGTGTCCAGCTGCCAGTTGCCATCGGATCGGTATGTGGCGGGCTCCCCCATCTCTGCGCCGGGAGGGTCCGTTGATCACATCCGGCGGCTGGCGGGCCCCATCATCTCTGCGCCGGGAGGGTCCGTTGATCACATCCGGCGGCTGGCGGGCCCCATCATCTCTGCGCCGGGAGGGTCCGTTGATCACATCCGGCGGCTGGCGGGCCCCATCATCTCTGCGCCGGGAGGGTCCGTTGATCACATCCGGCGGCTGGCGGGCCCCATCATCTCTGCGCCGGGAGTGTTGGAAAGCCCCGACATACCAGGCGCAGAGATGAGGGGGCCCGTCGGCCGCTGAATACTGTGGAGGGAAGCCGAGAATAAAAAAAAAAACCTGCAGGCACTTCAGGGGGCAGCCCTGGGCCTCGGTCGTGAGGACCAAGCAAACAGCTGCCTGAGTGCACAGGGGCACTGTCTGAGATGGACAAACTGGGGTGTTTTCTGCAGCCTCTCCCACCAGAAAACAGCCAGAGGAGGTGAAGGTAAGTTATTAAATAAAATTATTATTTTTTGTAGCCCAATTGATGGCATTGCTGTATGAAGTACTGCTGGTATTTGTAGTTCTGTATAGCAGGTCCCATTCTGCATTGTAGCAATTCGGAATGGCACCCTCTATACAGGACTACAATTATCAGCTGTACTTTATACAGCAATGCCATTTTCCAATTTTTGTGTGTGTGGTTGCTACATGGGATATGGGTTGGAGGGTTTGTGGTTTAAATCTTGCACCAGGGCCCTTTG